CACTCAATTGCATTTTTGTGGAAGGCCGGGGAGGGGGGGGGGGTGTTGCTTTGTTGTGTAAACGTGGCATCAACAACCAAGCTATGAAATGCAGAAATTTGTTTTCTTAAACTTTAATATTAATTTTTTTTTATTTTGGATTAAAATTCAACTACGAGTTAAGAAACATTTATACAACAGTGATGGTTAAGCCAAATAATTTCAGTTGAATACATGTCATCAGAACATAGCATACAAGAAGCTTTCTGATATTGCTCAGCAGCAAGGTGTTTAGTCTGGGCAGCCAATCAGAAATCAATCCTGTAACTGCTCAAAAAATTTAACAATTAGAAAAAATAATTAATCACCATAGCGTGAATAAGATAAACATTTGCCGTTCTTGTAAGTATGACTGGTTGGTATCATTAGCTCACCGATACCTTTACAAGTATTTTAATTACTCTAATTTTAGTTTAGTGATGAAAGAACAGATCTAATATTAGAGCGGCAATGTAGCAAGGTCAGGGAAGGCACTATAATGTATTCATGTGCAGCAAATCCACCTGACATTTACAGAATACAGCTCTATCCAGAGTGCCTACCGCTGTTAACTCATATTATTTAAATACATGGACTACTCAACACTGTTTTCATCAGTGAGCAACAGATATCATCGCATCTTAAGGGCAGCCATTGTTATGCGAACACATATAGTAGTTAAATTTTCAAACATGGACAACGGGGAGGGAGGGGGGGACATAGATATCCCTAGGGGGATAGCAAGGAAACAGGGGAGTTGAGTACTTGGAATAGTGTTAGCCTACAATTCCTCGTTTTTATCCCTCAATATTATAGAAGAACCTTTTTTTTTTACATGCAACAAATTTGTAATACACACAATAAATTGTCAATTTTCAGCATTTTCTTTTTTGGAGCACGCTGCATGAAAATGCATGGAATCCCAGAAAAACACAGAAATATACAGATCAATTGGACTAAACTTTACAGACAGTGTAACTATCCAATCAAATATTTCACAAGTACAGAAAGAAGGTTTTTCTAGATCAATTCAACTATTCCTTACATGACAGGGTAACTGTCCTATCACCTATTTGACCCCCTAGACAGATGTAAATGAACACAAAACACTGCAATGCAGAACGAGACTTGTATGCTAAATTTATATTCTTCATTTTATTTGCATTTCTACTCATAAATGCGAAAATTAGCAGGAAAAGTACATTAATTAAAGAAATCATTTTTCATCAAAATCAACACAATTTTGGGTTATGGGTTTCATCAAAATCTGTTGAGTGTCTGTGGAAAAACCTGGATAATCTTCATGCACATCAGGTACTTATTATGCATGGATTTCAACAACAAAATAATCAGGGTAACTGCAAAGACTTCTACTGTGTGCTTCACACATGGGAATAACAAATTTTAGTTACTAGAAAAAACACGATATATAGCGCCTTAAAAAATATGCCAGGACAAATGAAATAAATGAAAAAATGAAAGGGCGGGCAGAGATATGTTGAAATATAGCCTACTAAGCGAGGTACTAAAAGTGTCTCCAATTTATAAATAATTTAGGTCAGACCTCTCAAAACAACAGCAGACAGCAATGTTTCATGTAATTTTTTAAGGATAAATGTTGAGTGACAGATATTAAATGTAATGCACGTCACCACAATATCTGCTCTTGACCTCTATTCACAAACATGTCAGTTTTTAAACTGTAACACTGTTCAGACATAAATTTTACTTGATTATGCTTTCACTTAGGTGTAAAGAATGAACACTCAACAGTAATTAAGAACTACATCATCAGCAGACCCAAAGACATTCAACAAAACTGATTCTGATTGGTTCCCTCCTAAGGTACATTGTAAGAAGATACTGTAGAATACTTTATTTTCGCTATTTTCGCTGATGGGATGATTCCGTGAAAATAAAATCCAGCGAATATACTTTTTTTCCTATATTTCCCATTAAACTCATCAAAAATGAGTGAAAATAAATTCCATACAAAACGCCCCAAAAGCCTTTTCAGCGAAAATTAATTCCAGCGAAAATAAAGTATTCCACAGTAGTTAAAGTTTGTTTTAGCCAAACAGATTAGAGCTCCTATCCTTGATTGATATGGGAGATTCTCTTGGAAGATCAGAGACATCAAATGATGACGAGTTTTCTTGTAAGCTTTTTCAGGGTTCATAAGTTATTTAAACGGGATCATAAAACTTAATCCGTTTCCTACAGCGACTGTGGCATAGTGGTGCCCACGGATGACCATGGAAGACAAACATAGAATTAACTGCATTTAACTTGGACACAATAATATTACCTCGCCAACATTTTGCATATTTTGGAGTATTTCCGGTTAATTATTTGTCAATTTTGGACTTAACAAAAATACTGTAATGCTTTTATTTGTGTGAGACAATTTTTTTTTTTCAACTTTGGGGATGAGTGAAAATCACAAAATTTTAAAG